TGTAGAAAATAATGAAGCTCTTCTGTGCTTGTAGTGAGAAAATTTGTACCAAAAATTTGGGTCTACATTTTATACTAGACAGAAGAGAGTGGATTGGCTGTGAGCCTTTCCCTCTGTGATCATTTCTAAGCATTTCTAAATTGAGGATTAGTAGCAAATTCTTTTGCCTTCTGGCTTTGTTCAGGAATGGTTTCAACGAGGGTATTTTTAGGAAAGTTGATTCATTTTCTGTATTGAAATTATGTGTTCAGTGCTACTGTAAAATAGGCTGAAATCTTTTCAAAGGTAGTGGGAGATGAGTGAAGATGAGTCATGTGAAATCCTTGGAGACATGGGTTGGTTTTGCTGGTTTATTTTCTCAGAATGACAAGTTTTGAGAGTTCTGTCATCAGTGGCTTCCAGTGGTTGAAGGTATCACTGTGGAGGGTAAGAGAGAAGAAAGCATGGGAAACACATCACAGGGACAGTGGTTGTATACAGGGTCTCAGACAACTGGGATCTTGACCCAGTGTCGTTGTTATGCAGAAAGTTGAATTCATTACCTGAATTTCATCCTTGGTAAGATTTGATTCTTCTCTGAGAAAAGTTAAATATAATAAGGCAGTGATTTAAAAGATAAGCGAGGCAGAGTTGGTGAAAGCTGTTTGCAAAGTTTTGAAGATAGTGGTTAGTGCTTAGACAAGCAAACTAATTAATGACACGCTAAGATGTAGTTCTTCAGAAGTGGATGGTACAGGTTTTCACTGAGAGGTTTGGAAAGCTCATCATAGCAACATGCTTAAATAGCTGCAGAATTATACAGTATAAATTGAACTTCATCTTCTTCCTAGAAAAGGAAAGGCTGTCATTTGTACATCTTTCAAGAACTAATGCAGAATGATGGATCGTGTAAGAAGTAACATGTCCTGAATCTTCTGACTCGTACTGCATAGTCGTGCAGTTCTAGTTGTTTGTAGACCTTTATAAGTAGTTTCCCTTGAGTGTACGTCTTGTAAATACGGCAGAGGGAGGGAGGTTGTTTTTATGCAAACTGGATTACTACAGTGTATTTAAAAGACACAGTTAGTGCATTCTCTGTTAAAGGAGGAACACCTGTGTTGGATCAGGTTGTGGGGTTTTGTGGTCGTTTTTAATATGAAGTGAGGCATGAACTCCTTTCATGCTTTTAGTTAAAATACGTATATAATTGATTACAAAAAAAAGAAGTCTGTTCCTGATGCGAAAGAATGACAGACAGATGAAAGAATAGCTCTTAGGATGCTGTAAGGTATCAAAAAATGGCAAATTTAGAATTTCTTTCTTTCTGAAGGAAACATCCTTAATTCTGTTCTTTACAGCAAAATTGACTTCAGTAGAAAAATGTAGAATATTCTCAAACATAAATAACTAGCAAGGTAAGTTGTATTAGTCCTGAGTTTTTGGATTAAATCCCTGTCCTTCAGCCTTGCAATGCTAAACTGTTGCTTGATTCAGCAGATATTAAATATTAATGCCTTTTATCTAGAGAGGAAAACTAATGAAATACTGGCATGCTGTGTGCCACCAAATCTGTGAAATACGACTCTGGTGTGCTTAGGCACTTGAAAGAAGTCTAGAAGTAGACAGAATAACTTTTTATTCCACGTGTCATTTGTATTCTCAATAAATGATAAATATTTTTTGAAAATTATCAGAGCCAGAGTATCTTAGGCTTTTCTTAGAACTTTACCCTGAGACATTAGATTGGCAAAATATTTTTAGTAAATTTATACAGTTGAAGTAGAAATCTATTTTACCTTTTATTTGATATCATTATTTCTACCTTCTTCTGTAGTTACTCCAGCTAGGTTTCAGTTTAGGAGTTTGCATACTGAAAATATTGTCTTAAAATGTCTTTATGTAGTTCTCCAGACAAAATACCTTCTTCCAGAGGAATAGAAGGCAAGAACCTTCTCTGAGAGTTTGCAAGCTTTGCAGTATCTCAGTCACAGAAGGGTGAGCATAAATGAACTGCAGAATCAGTTTCTTGATTTAAGTGATCAATTTAGTGAAAGTTTGGAATCTGAGTGATTAATGAGACAAATGAGCGCATGATAGGAGCATTCCTTTGTGCTGACAGGACAAATAGCTCCATCAAAGAGGAGCATGGTAACAGAAGGTTGGTAATTTAAGTCCAAATCCAAAAGCTCAACCTAATCAATGTATGTGTTAACCCAACACATTTAGGAAGTTTAGCCCAAGAACAGTGCTGCATCTTCCATGTAGGTAAATGAATTTTGTCTGTCTATTGCAGACCTACTTAGCCAAACTCTTATAAAATTAACCTCTCTGACATTGTTTTTTTGGTCTGTATGTGCAGAAAGTATTTGCTTGCTATTTTAGGCTATCATCGTAGAATCACAAAGTGATTTTGGTAGAAGGGGCCTTAAAGACCATCTGGTCCCAACACCCTGCCATAGCAATGCCACCCAGCAGCTGAAGCTGCCCAGGGCCCCATCGAACTTGGCCTTGAGCACCTCCAAGGATGGAGCACACACAGCTTCTCTGGGCAGCTGTGCCACTGCCTTGCTGCCCTTATGAAAAAATTCTTCCTTATATCCAATCTAAATCTACCCACCTTCAGTTTTAAAGCCACTACTCCTTGTTCCATCTCTACATACCCTTGTAAAAAGTTGTTCCTCATCTTTCCTGTACACCCCCATTAGCTACTGGAAGGCATCTATGAGGTCTCCCCAGAGCCTTCTCTTCCCCAAGCTGAGCAAGCCCAACTTCCTCTGATTATCTTTGTGGGCCTCCTCTGGACCTGCTCCAACAGCTCCATGTCCTTCTTATGTTGAGGGCCCTGGAGCTTATTGGAGTACTGCAGGCAGATCCTCATGAGAGAAGGGGCCAACCCTTCAGCCTGCTTGCCATGCTTCTTTTGATGTGCCCCAAGATACAATGAACCTTAACCCATGAACTTCTTTAAGGGAGAAAAAAAAAAAAAAAAAAAAAAGAAGTAGAAAAACCCAGCAACCAAAAAAGATGGATTTTGAACATTAAAAAAAACCCCAAAACCTGGAACATACAGAAAACATTTTAAAAATGAGCATAAAATACAAATAAATTAGTTATTAGTAGCAGATGCCATAGTTGTGGGGAAAAAAATGACTCTTTCTTTTCAGATACTGTAGTTAATAAATTTTGCAGTTTTGTCTATTAAGTAGGCTGTCTGTCTTAAGCTGTCCAACATCCAGGAGTTGGAACAGATCTGTCTTAACCTAAACATGGATGCAGTTTGGATAGGGCTTAAATGAAACCCTCTTCTTGATGAAGGTTTTATTAGCAATTACTGTGAAAATTTTCCTCTTAGAGGAAGAAAAATCTTTGTTGATGGATCTCCCTTTGAGATTTTGTTATGGTCACAGTCCAGGGCAAAGTGGTTTCAGTTCAGTATGTGTGAGATGAAGAACTGCTGTGAAATGGAGTTGGGCTGATATTGTGGTAGAGGGTAATCAGTGCTCCTCACCTCAGAATGGTCATCAGTTGGGTGCCTCACACGTCGTCATAGTTACCGTGTTGTGTCTGGGAATGGAAGAGAAAAGTGAGTTGGTAATATTTTCAGATTCTCTTTTGAATGGGTTGCAGTGAAATTGACAAAAGGTTAAGAAAGCCAAGTGTTGGTTGTGCATGAAGGAGATCATGAGAAGAGATGTTGAAGAGATGAGCGATGTCTACATTGGTGATATCTGTAGAGTGTGCATGTAAGGAAATGGAGCAGATGATCATGGATTATATGGAGATAAAATAAGAGACTCTAGCTGACATCTTTCATGTCACCAGAAGTGAGAATACTCAGTAGAAGACAGGCAAGCAATCACAACGTGATCTCAGATGGATCCATAATTTTAGGAACTAGCAGTTTATTAACAGCTGAAAGATTAGGTACTGAGGATATCAAAATAACCCTACATTTGTAAAAACAAAAATTCAGTATATGACTCTGCTGATGGTCATGTGTTGATGCTAGAGAAAGAACAGAGTAGATCGCATACGTGTTGGTTTTTCAAAATTAAAGTGGCCTAACACGCAGCTCAGGGAGGGGCTTCATGAGGCAGATGCTGTATCCACATGTTTGTGTTTAATACTATTTTATTTTTCTCTGTGTTTTTGTCATCCCATTTACACTTTTGGCTTCCATGTTGTGACAGTGAGTCTCACAGTTGTAGTTATGGTTTGTGGTGTAGTCATTTATTACGAACCTGGTGCCTGATTTCACAGTCTCGTGTATTTCATTAACATGAACACCCAGTTACGTTAGAAACTTTACGATGGAGCCAGTCATGACAAAGCTGCCTCTCCACGCAAGCCTTTCTGCAGTTATTCACTGTGGGATTTCCTTTTACCTGTAGGAGATAAAGTATTTATTATTTGGCTGCCTGCTGATAGAATAGCCTGTGTGGACAGCTAGTAGGTTTTATCCTGGTCACAACTGCTGTGTCCTGATGGTAAATGAAGTTGATTCCTGGACATTTCAAAATAAACATCTGATTACTCGGAACAAAATGCTCCATCTGTTGCACGCACACCATTACACGCCCTGTGCTGTAAATGCTAATGGATGACTTCAAGGTGCACATCCTGGGACCAAGACCTACCCTCCTAGAGCTCAACAGCAAAACTTTTTTGGACTGATAAAATCCAGCCTTCCATCCCCAAATAATGGCCAGATGCTTCGTTATCTCACTTCATAGGCAAAAGCTCAGCGTGTACCTGGCAGCCTTCACTCTCAGTTAACATGTTGACGTACCGTAATGACCACCAAACATGCTGCTTTCCTGGTAGGCCCAGACCATGAACAGATTTCACGCTAGTTTATAGATCTAATAAGAGCCAAATTGAGAGACTTTATCAAAACCTGGGAAAGTTCTTTTGAACTGCAGACAGAAAAAGGTTCCTGCTTGTTGGGTGTTGATGTGAAGCGAGGGTTTGCAATGAGTGCTGAGTAACCTGATCTTTATCCTTTGTTTGTCTTTTTCTAGGAGAAGCTCTGCCTACCACATCACATCCTAGAAGAAAAGGGCTTGGTAAAAGTGAGCATAACAGTTCAAGCATTGCTAGATGTAACCACAGTGAAACAAGCTTTATTCACGTGAAACTACTCTCTCTGCTGTTACCAGCTCCACTGTGCCATCAAAGAATCAAATCACTGCCCGTCTTTACAGACTACATTGAAAAAAAACAGTGCTCCAAGAGTATTCTGATACTTCTGATTTTAAAATCATCTTTGAGACTGTACACGTGCATCCAACTACAAACCAGAGACTAAAAGAAAACATTTTATAGAGCACATTGGGGCCTCACTGCTTTTCTAGCTCGCTTTGTACAGTACTTACTGAAACAGCCACCTCTGCCACGTAAAAATGTGTGGAGTACACAGCTGTCTTGCAGCAAGATACCTTCGTATTATTAAACTAAGAATCCTCATAATCATTTTTGGAGGGAGGGAGAGTAAGTCAGACTTGTGCCACATCAGGTTTTTCTGCAGTTGCTTCGGGCTATTGCCTTTTAAAAATATCCAGACACAAAAATATTTATATAAATGTTATTTATTAGTGAGTTGTTATTCATCCTTTGGATGCAAAATGTAAATTAGGAAACTGTATTTTATTACTGCTTTTTTTGTGGTTAAACACTTTATTTTAATATAAATGTTTAGTTATTTTTTATTCTACTAGGGGTGCAGTAGCTCTAGATCTCCATACATTGTATTTTCTAACTCCTAAGAGCAAAAGCAAACCAAGTAGGTGCTTCAGTTCGAAGAACAGCTCGCTGGAATGGCATTCTTTTATTTTCAATGTGTGGAACATCGATGAAAGTTTGTCTGCATTCCGTTTCTTTCCTACATTCCAGCAGCACTTTTCCCCCCAACCCACACACACACACACACACACACACACACACACACACACACACTTGATTCAATTGGCTGAAGCAGAGCACACCCATGACTTGTATATAGATGTTTAAAATAGGAAAGACGTAAACTTGAAAAAATAAATGTGAATATTTTTGATTGCTTATTTTACTATGCACAAGACATTTAACTTTTGCCACAACAAAATGAATGATGTGCATTAGGATCGTGTGTCTTGAAATAGGATTTTTGCACTGTAACTTGATTTTCTTTTAAAGACTACGGCACTACGGAACGAATAGAGCAGAGCACAAGAACGCTAACAGGTAGCCAAAATGTTTTTCTTCATTAATTCCTTCCAGAGGTGATAAAATCGTTAACACTGCCGAGGGCAGTCTTACATCTGACCTTCCAGCTGCTGGCTGCAGTGCTTCTCCCCGTTCACTGAAGTCATTGGGTTCCCCCTGAATCGAGCACAGCGTTCTGTAGTGGGACTGGAGGTCCGATCCTACACCCATTCATGTCAGCAATAGGATAGAAGCTTCTCTTTCTTATTACTACTTTACGTTTTTTGAAAAGACTTTTCAGGAGCATCATTTATTATGAAAACATCATCTTTAGATCCACGAGTCCCAGCGCAGCCATTATCACAGTGTCTGGAACTTCCACTTTCTGTAGCTTGGACGGAGGCTGCAGGTGTGAGTTGGGTGGGCAGGGTGGGAGAGCTGCGTGTGGGGGAAGGTGAGCTGAGCCGCCAGCTCCGTGCCGCACGGGGGCTGTGGTTGGAAATACGCACCATGATGGGAATGAGGCGATGCGGTGGGAGAACAAACAGGAAGAAAGCTGTGGAGAAAACTGTTGTGCAAGGACTTTCTGAAGGCACGATGCATAACTTGTCGCTGCTGCACAGCTAGGCTGAGTTACCTGCGTGTTTGCACAGGTGCTGCAGTTCAAAACAGCTGTGCTCCAATCGCAGACTTTCAGTCTATAGTGCAGTATTTGAATGCAGGCTGTGCACTGTAACGCCACGGACTGCCAACGTCTGTACTGAGAGCAGCTTGTCAGAGTGGGCCTGCAGACACACAGTATGCCCAGGATAGCAGTTACTTCAACCAAAGCAGAAGCATTTATTTTATAGAGGGAACGGCGACTTAAAATGGCAATTTGGATCGGCAGCTATAGCATGTTGTTTCCTATCAAATGTACTGTGCACTTTACCGCTAAATTAAAATGTATTTTAATATTTTACAGAGCTGCACAAATATCTGTTTTGTCAAAAAGCACGAGCAATGTAAAGAGAAATACGTTTTCGAGGTAGAGTTTATCACATTTTAAAAAGCATTCAAAGATTGATTATAAAATAGGAATATTGATTTCTGCATCTCGAGGGATAAAATGCAGGTTTCCTGAGTATTTTTTTACAATGTATATATGGCACCATGAAGCTTTGTAATTATTATTTTGACAAATCTTGGTTTTTCATAATTAAAATTTTGTTTTTCCTCCTGACAGTGTCTTTCAGTATTTGCTCAAAGTTGGCTGTAAATAGCTCTACCTATTTTGTCATACGGCTTTTCTATGCAGTCTTAACCTGTATGGCTAAAAAGAGGATCTTCATGAGTCTTTGTACACTATTTGTACGTGCAATAAAACATGCATGGTGGATCTATCATACCCTAAGCAGTGAACATAATGTATATAGAAAATCCTTACTGTAGTTACAATTAAACTCTATCATTTGTAGAAACCACTTACGGGCTACCCCCTGGCTGGCAGTTTGTTGTAAAAGAGATGATGCTGAGAGCTGAACAGTGTGGGTGATGGAGGAGGTGACTGTGTGAGCCAAATAAAGGCACTGTAGAGCTCAACTAGGAATAGGATCCTGTTCCAGAATAGGAATAATCCTATTAAACCTAAGAAACCTACAAACACACTGTAAGCCTTTTTCTTACTAAGCAAGAAAGGAGTGGAAGACAAACCACCTCCTTCAGCACAGACTGCTTCCTTTCTTAGAGCAACCTTGTGGTGTTTGTTAGCGTACAGAACAGGAAACCACAGTGTGCAGCTTAATTAAGCACCCTGACTGGTTGTGGCACTAATTGATGAAATGAATGCAGGTTTTCCATTAATGGAAGAGGCATACTGTTATTCACTGCCTTTGTCTAAGGTGTGCTAGAAACAGGCCTGAGTCCCAAATACTTACGTTCGTATTATTAAGATCTAATTAACTCACCTGCTAATCTTCTTCCTGACCAACAATGCACATTCACCTACATGGTGTTAAACTTTCAAGCATGCAAGAATATTCAAGATACTTTGAACATCAAATTAAGTGGGACTTTTATTTTATTAGCAGTGTAATCAGAAGAGCTGTATTCTACAGATGCTGCTTCAATACATGATTTCTGTACTGTTCAGCTGGATCCTTTGCCTCCCGCTGGTCAGACAGCACTCCCATTTCTGTAGTTCAAGCATTAAGGAACTTTGCATGGTGCTTGATGTGGTCATTGATAAACGTAGCAATGAAAAAATAGCTGTGATCATAGCCCTAGAAGAACAACAATAAAGAAATAAGCAAATGCGTATAGCTCACGACAAAGCAATCGTGCTACGCTGTCTTGTCAAGAAGTTAGTATCTCTTGTGTTTTCATCTGTTTTAAGAAATCAAAAAGACATAAATGTAAAATTGTAAAGGTGGAAAAATGTAAAATTGTCAGGGGAAGTTCTTTACAGAGAGAGTGGTGAGGTGCTGGCACAGGCTGCCCAGAGAGGCTGTGGATGCCCAGTCCCTGGAGGTGTTCAAGGCCAGGTTGGATGGGGCCCTGGGCAGCCTGGTCTGGTATTAAATGTGGAGGTTGGTGGCCCTGCATGTGGCACAGGAGTTGGAGCTTCACGAGCCTTGAGGTCCCTTCCAACCCTGGCCATTCTGTGATTCTGCAAAGCACACCTAACAAGTCAAGTATAGAAGAGCTCTAGGAAGATGAGCAAACAGTGTGCACCTTCACCTGCCCTAATCTGGGTGTGCAAGTTAGAGGTGGGTTGGGTTTGTGATCTTAAGGAATGTGGGCCTGGCAAAAAAATAAGAGCGAGGACCCTGAACTTCAGAAGAGTGCAATTCTGTTTGTTTAAGGAATTACTGGATGGAATTCCATGGGAGACTGTCCTTAGGGATGGAGGAATGGCACAGAGCTGTCAGCTCCTGAGGGACACCTTTCTGAGAGTGCAGGAGCTTTCCATCCCTGAAAACCAAGCAGACGATGAAGGAAATGGGCACTGCTGAGGGAAAAGAAGGAAAATTACAGGCAATGAAAGCCAGGATGGGTGGGCCTGGGAAAAATACAGGGATGCCATTTGGATACGTAAGGATAGGATCAGGAAAGCCCAGGCACAGACCAAAGTGAATTTGGTGAGGGACGTGAAAAATAACAAGAAGGGCTGCTACAGGTACAATGGCCAGCTGAGGAAGGCCCAGGAGAGTCTACCTCCTCTGGTAAGTGAGAAGGGACAGCTGGCAACAATGGACATGGAAACTGCTGAAGTATTCAATGCGTTCTTTGCCCCACATGTCACTGACAGGCTTCCCACACCTCCTGCATCCCTGAACCTCTAGGCAGGGTTAGGGGAACAAAACTGAGACCGCCTCATGAGGCTGAAAATGTATGTTTGCCCAGAGAAGCTGTGGGTGCTCCATCCCTGGAGGCACTCAAGGTCAGGTTGGATGGAGCCCCGGGCAGCCTGAGCTGCTGGGTGGCACTGCCCATGGCAGGGGTTGGGACTGGGTGGGCTTTAAGGTCCCCTCCAACCTGAGCCATTCTGTGAACAGCAGCATCAGCTACAGAGCAGGATGCAATATGAGAGAACAGTTCCCCTCACTGGTATTGTCCTAGTGCTAAATACGGGCTGTGACCTCACATCTTAAGTCTGAAGAGCTAACATAGCTCTTTTGCTATGTTAAAATAATAAAGAAACCTCTAAACTGTTCCCTTTCTGTCAGCACCAAATAGACCTTGTGGCACAGGGCTGTACAAAAGCCCTGGTGATAAACCAAAGAGGACAATCTTCAAGCTGTGGGGCTGCCTGCTTACAAAGACTCCATTGCTCTCAGTGCGTTGCTGTTTTGGGTCACTGCACTGTAGGTCTTCAAGTGAATTTGATATTTCAAGCAATTCCATACCTCTCCTGTTGTACACGAACACTCGCATGCTAAATCACAAAGCTGAACGCAACACCCACAGCACAAATAAGGAATCCTGCAAAAACACAGCTGTCGCGTTGCTTTTACAGTGACTGTGCTTAGTACAGTCATTAATGCTGCCTCTGCAGCTTATCACTGGCAGGTTTAAGCGCAGCCAGCGATACCAGCACCAGATCCGTTTGAGAAGAGTGCGCTTATGACCCCACCTAGTGGTACAAGGCAGCAGAAACTGCAACGTCTTTTCCTCAGCCAGGGGCAGACAGGTCAATAAATGCACGCCCAGTGACAAACTACCTGCTGTGCACACACCAAACTCACACAGCATCTACCCAACAGCAGGGTCTGCGGAAGCAACTTGCCTGCTGCAGTCTGAAGACTACTGGGATTTTCCTCTCTGTGCAGGCGGCGATGAAGTTATCTGGCAGTAGCTGGCCTGCTGATAGGAACTGATCTTCTTTGCCTTGATCAATCAGGATGTCCAGGCGAGAGTCTGGGTAGGACTTCACAAGCTGTGTAGCATCGTATGCCTGCAGAAGTAAAAGGGAGGCAATGCTCACGTATGCGTGTTAGAATGGACTGAATTCACTGACTGAGAAAACAATGGTAAGTGCAGAGTGCTGTTACACTGATCAAGACATCAAACTATAACTTGGAAGAGCAATCAGGCCCTTATGCACTACCCTGTCACTACACAGTGGTGGAACAAAAACAAAAAACGTGTGTTCAATGACAGAACAAGCCAGAGTGGTAGTATGGGTCCATTCTATGGCTTATGCTAACTACAGAAGTGTTTTCAGCAGATCCTCTGAACTAGGCACCTGATTTACAACATCTGGTCCTGCAGCAGGACAGCATAACGATGTATGCCCAAATAACGCAGCAACAAATATATTTGTGTGCTTGTAGCCTAGCAATTCTTATAAGACTGTTTTTATTTCTAAATTAGGGACCTAGAGCTAAAAACCAAACTCCTGGTTTAATCATGTTCTGTGGGATATCAATTTCCAAGTACCAAAGGGCTTCTCTGCAACTGCCTCTGCCAGGCTGCTCCCGCAGATACCACGAGGCTCATCAGACCCTCACCACGCTGTAGCAATGTCTTTCTTTTCAGGCTACCACAGAAGTTCTGAACACTGAAAACTGTGTTTTGGAGTGACAGACCATAGAGGGTCATTTAAAATTCTTAAACTCGTTAAATATTCTCATTACTTCCATGCATTACAGAAAGTCTCAGACTGCCCGTAATTCTTCTTAGCCTGTATTCTAAGACCTTCATAAAACATTTAGTCAGTTTGATGAGAGCTTTCTGTCTCGTTTGTCACAAGCACCACCAGGCAACAGCAAGACACACCCAGCAGAACTGTGCAGTGTGCTGTGCATTCTCTTAAGCATGGATATAAAACAACACCATCAGCTCCTGGGCAACTCAAGAGTTTTGTTCCAGACATCTGCAGCAATGTAAGCACAGATCACTCGTTCACGCATTAGTGAAGGCCTGCAAGTTGCAGCACATACCTCCCATTTGCTTACATCTGATCCCAGATATCCACCAAGGGCTTTCTTGCCCCACTGGCACTGCATAGGGTTGCAGATAGGAGAAAAAGCCGACACAGACTGTGTGGAAAGAGAGCACGAAAAAACAAAACACAACAGGAATTACCAAAAGCAATTTCTGATAACAATCAAACTGACAGTGTTTCAAAACAGCTTTAGAAAGCACTGCCAGAACTCTGACTCTGCCACCAGCCCTTTAATCTAAGTGCCATAACTATTACCCTATTTCCCTATTCTGGGCAGCCTGGTCTGGTGGTTGGAGACCCTGCACATAGCAGGGGGTTGAAACCAGATGATCACTGTGGTCCTTTTCAACCCAGGCCATTCTATGATTCTGTTATTTGCTCTCCCTAGAGCCACAATGCTCACTTTCCTTTTTGCACACGAGCCAAGCTTCAAAATGAAGGGTTAGCCACCCCATTCCATTGTATGCTGGATGTTGGATGTTGTCTTGAATTCCTTAAGCAGCTGATAAGCCTGTTGTGCATGGTGAGAGCATGGAACTATCTCACCTCCAACTCCATTCTGGAACATAGGAAAGGCCTGAGGCACGGAGCTCAGCCTGTCTGAGCCTGCAGCAGCGTCTCCTGAATTTAGCTAACTTAACTGAAGGATTAGGAGTTGGGAAACAAGCATTTCAGAGCACAGGTGCCAGGGAGAAAAGTCCAACCTCTATTTTTTACATTCTTCTTTCAGATCTGTCCCTGGGCCCATCAATATTTCAACTCTTATGCCCTGCAAGAAATAGCAACCAACTATTTGAGCCATGGGCAGTTTCTTGAATTCTGGCACTTTCAGTAGTGTTTATTTCTTTTCGATAACACAACGAGTATTTGAGTGCCAACAGTGAAAACAAATTTCTGAACTACTGGCTCCACAAGATAAAGACAGAGCCAGTAAATTGCCAGCAAACAGCAATGCCTGA